GCTCGGGCGCGTGCATGTGTGCCTGCCTGCCTGCCTGTCTGTCTAACAGTATGTTTGGTACCAAAGAGTAGCTCAGACTGTCTCCTATTGGAATAGTCATAAAGTGAAAAGTTAGGAGAAATTCCTGAGGTTATGATTACTACATGTGAAATAAATGAAGCTGATACCCAGAGATATGGAAATGAGGGTAGCTCCCTCATCTCCTCCTGCCCTTCTGCCTTTCTGCCATTCTGAGCTTCCCCTGGGTTTTGTGGGTTTCCCTAGGGATTCCTACAGCCACACACCCATCCTCAGAGCAAACAATGCTAGTGTCTTAGCACCTTCCTGCTGACAATGCGAAGATCCTCCTAGGACAAAGTCCTGGGTAGCAGCTCCAAGGCATGGATCACCACTGATATTTCAGTGAGATCATGAGTTCAAGGACAGCCTAGATAATAAAACCAATCCTAGGATAGCCTGTGCTACATGGCGAGATTACCCTCTCCAAATCAAAAAGGAAAAACAACAAAATTGAATCCTGTATTTGAAAGATCACATAATAGGAGGCTGAGAGTAGATGCCAAAGACTGGGTGGAGTGGTCTTAACTGATGATAACAAAAAATTGTTGGATTTTTAGGAACTGCAGCATCCTTTAGTTGCACTGTGAAAGGGCGTGTGCTACAGGGGCAGATGTTGGATGCAGGCTCCCACTGGCTCTTCTTTTCTACAATAAGTATATTTCTCATAGATGTCTGAATGACTTCAGGGTCTTCCTTAAATAGTATTTCCCCAAAGGCAGGGCAAACAGCCACTTCATAAATAGCCAGAAGGACTAGACAGCTCAGTGTTAGAACACTTATCTGTGGGCATGGGTCCAGTCTTTAGCACTGCAAAAGAAATAGTCAAATACACAAATAGTGGCTACTGACTTAAACAAAAGGGTGAGCTAGAATGAGGAAATATACTAACACTTTATCATGGGCTGATTCTGTGCCTTCTCCTGAAGTATATTTGGGAGTACTAGTCCCAATACTTTATAATGTGACTGTAATTGGAGGCAGGTACTTTCAAAAAGTAATTGAGTTAAATATGAGGCCATTGGATTACATTATGGTTGGTCTCTTTTTTAAAAAAGGAAGCAGGCATTGGTAGTGCACACCTTTAATACAAGAACTTGGGAAGTAGATAGATTTTTCTGTGAGTTTGAGGCCAGCCAGGGATACAGAGGGAGGCAATGTCAAAAAAATGAAGATTAACATTCAGACACAAAGTGGAGGCAAATGCTATGTGAACATGAAAACAGTCATTAGAAGCCAAGAAAAGAGGCCTCAAGTGTTGATCTTAGACTTTCAATATTCAAAACTTTGAGAAACAAATTTCTGTCAAGTTACTGTCTGTGTTAATTTTTCATGGCGACCTTCTTGTTCAAATAGAGAAGAAATAACGACAGTCTTTTACAAATAGTTTGCAGTTCTGATTTCATGTTTGTCATGTGAGTTTGCAAACACAGGAGTACCTAGATGAGGACAACTGAGGGTAGCCAAGAGAGGAGCCTTTAGCAATCAAACAGCATAGGTTCAAATTCCAGTCCTGCCATTTACCATCTATGTAACTCAGAGCAATTTACTTAACCCTGCTCTCAAATGCAGGTGAACGAACAGCACCTATTGATCTAAGCAAGAGTGGTAATGGACAGCTGACATTCAGCAAGGTGTAGCACAGGTAAGTACTCTGGTTGTAGGAGCTATTGCTGGCTAAATCTCTCTCCAGGGGAAATGGAGTTAATGAAGCCTGACTTAAAGAAATGGCATCATAAGCTCTGCAACAGGGTAGAGGGACGAAGTGAGAATTGACACCTGAAATAGATGGTGCAGGGCAGCTTTTACACTGAAATATGTAGATGCAGCACCCACCACAGGGCACATTACAGCTTTAAGAGACATTCATGTTTATGTATTTCTGTCTGTCCTCCTGAGGTGTGCAGATCTCTCTTTCTCTCTCCCTAATAGCTGTGTCAATTTCTGTAACTGTGTATCAATATCTAAAATTGCATCTCTATATATCTATGGCTATATATCTACATAAGCAATAATTACATTAATACTATTTTATACATAGATGAATTTCTATCTATTCACCATAGTGTTTGTGGATGGACACTAACTATCCAATGCAATGTTAGATTCTTCCCTTGTCACATTTCAAAAAAGCTGGGAAATGGAAACTGTAAAGAGAAAAATATATTGTGTCTATAGAATGTCTGGACCATAGAACGCTTTCTCTTTCATTTATGAGACACTTATTATCAGGGTTCCACATGAGGTTTTAGATCCTATCAACTGGAGGAAGTTTGACCCTCTTGGAGGATATACTCTGAAGACTCTATGAAATGATTTTTAAAGTCCCATGTTTTGAAATGTTTTAAAGTGTATTCTGGAAGCAATTTGGCCATGTGGACTTGAGGAGGGCTGTACCCAGGATTCTAGATTAATGGATGGAGTACCTTGAGAAGTTTCTGGAATCAAATGTGTTCAATAAACCTTTGCAAACAAAATATCCCTTAACAGATTAGCACGTTTAATGTGTTATAGGGGAACTCAGTCACAGAGACAGCATTTGACTTTTGGCTCTGGCTTTACCACTTATTAGTTCTGTGGTTTTGGTCCCTGTAATTTGTGGAATAAAGGTGATACCTACCACACTGATTTCCATGATTACTAGTGACATAAACACTTTGCCAGCACTGAGCCTGGAACATACTAAGAATTTAAAAATGTTGAGGTTGAGGTGTCTTATAAATACCAACAGTTCTGACTCTCTCTCTCTCTCTCTCTCTCTCTCTCTCTCTCTCTCTCTCTCTCTCTCTCTCTGTGTGTGTGTGTGTGTGTGTGTGTGTGTGTGGTGTTAACATGCACACACATATGGAGGTCAGAGGTCAATGTCAAGTATTTTCCTCAATACCTCTCCACTTTATTTTTTGAGACAAGGTCTCTTACTGAACCTGGTGCTGACTGACTTGGCTAGATAAGTTGGTTGACAAGCCCCAGGGGTCCTTCTGTCTCTGAGTCCCCAAGCCTCAGAGATCCTTTGGTCTCTGATTCCTGGCACTGGGATTATAGAGATGACAGTTTGATTTCTGTTGGTGTGATGAACACCATGACCAAAAGTAGCTTGGAGAGGAGATAGTTTATTTAGCTTACATGTCCTGATCATGCTTATTGAGGGAAGCCAGAGCAGGAGCACAAACGGGAGCAGGAACCATGGAGGAATGCTGCTTGCTGGCTTGTTCTTCATGGCTTTCTCAGTCCATTTTTAGTACCAGGCAAGATGCCCAGGGGCGGCACCACCCACAGTGAGTTGAGACCTCTTATATCAATCATTAATCATGAAAATGCCCCACAGACTTGCTTACTAGTCAATCTGATGGAAGCATTTTCTCAGTTGAGGTTCCTTCCTTCTTTATAGATGACCTAGCTTGTGTCCAATTGACAAAAAAAGCTAACAAACACAAGGACACCTTACCTGGACTTGTATATTGGTACTGGAGATTAAATTCAGGTCCTCATGCTCGCTCAGCACAAGCTTTACCAGGTTAAAGGCATTCACTTTAAAGAAAGTGAAGCAGTTTTCCTTCAGTGACCCCTCCTCTGTCTTCTCTACTCATTTCCTAACACATCAGTCCCTTTCTGTGAGCCAGCCACTGTGCTAAACACAGCTCATATATGTTTCCAGGTATTCCTCTCACCAACATTCCCATCATGATATTGTAATTAAAGAAAGGAAATGTTAAAGAAGTTAAGTGATTTGATCAAGGCCACATAATTTGAAGGTGGCATTCCCAGAACTTAAAACTGGATTCTCATGTTTAAGGCTTTTGTGGAATATATAATTGTACAAGGACAGACAGACAGAGAGACAGACAGACAGAGAGACAGACAGACAGAGAGACAGACAGACACACAGAGTGAGGGAGAGCACAGACAGACAGAGAGACAGACAGACAGAGAGACAGACAGACACACAGAGCGAGGGAGAGCGAGAGCGAGCAATAAAAATTAAAATTACAAAAAAGGAATAACAAGAATACACAAACGAGAGAGAGAGAGAGAGAGAGAGAGAGAGAGAGAGAGAGAGAGAGAGAGACTTGGAGAGGCTTTGTCTTACCTGCTACTATGAAGAACACGGTTGTCTAGGTCTACATAGGAAAGGAGACTTGTAGAGTCTGCCCTCTGTGACAGTCCTTCTCAGTACTCAGCACACAGCAGTTGAACTTGGCCCCTGGCTGGGAAGAATGTTGAGCAGATAATTCCAGGAGTTGGATGATGCTGTGGGGGGAGGAGATGTTCAGTGGAGAGGGCAGAAAGCAGTGCAGGTTTCCAGAAGGGGCAGCCAGCTAGGGAAAGCCTTGTGTAGAATCGTCCCAGTGTTTGTGGGCTACTCCAGGTGGGACAGGAG